CTCTCCTTCTCGTCGTACTAAACAATCTGCTCGTCCATCTTCTTCTCTCCCTGCCAGGCCAACTATGGCCAAGAGTGCTCCAACCCGCAAACGGCTAGCCTCAGCATCTCCGATTCTGGAGGATGATGTTGATGACGATGATGATGATGTCCCTCTTATCGTTAAAAGGAAGGTAATTAAATTGGTCTATTTACAAGTATGCTCTTCCCCATTTGAAATTTTTCTGTGTACTGATGATCTTTTGGACTTTTCAGAAAAGCTCAACTTCCTCTTTAAAGGCTTTGGTATTACCAACTCCTGCTCCATCATCCTCTGTTAAGGCTACTCCATCCAAACCGGTTATGATGGGAACATGCCTAAAGGTATATCTTCAGTCCCAGATTCTTCATCACCGCCCATGAATGAGCCACCTTCCTCCCAGGGCGTCGACCCCCCAATCATCGAAGCAGAAGGTAATTCAGTTTTTGATGTCTTACCTTTGCTTGTGCTATTGGTTTCTGACTGGTTGCTCTTTGCACTTTGCAGATACTCCTATGAGTCTGCCCGTTGTGGCAACGTCTTCTCGCTCGGACAAGGGGAAGTCCTCACGAATGGATGAGTCATTGGTGGCCAGCTTGGCTGAGGGTGCGCCATCTTCTACGATTGTCGACGAGGTAGTTTTTCTCTTTGCCCCATTCCTATTTCCAACTTGTTCGTTGTAACGAATATTTTTAATGTTGGCCATCTTCTTTGCAGGATGCTGACAGGATTGTTCGTTCTATCCAGGATTTGTTCACTTCCTGGGGGCAGGTCCAAATGCCTCGACCTGCTCCACCTGATCGTCCTGCTGCTTCTTCAGAAGAGGACTTGAAGTTCTTGAGGGAGTTGGTATTTGAGTACGTGTCCTTCATGGACATGGACATTGAAAGGGCTAGTGCTGCCAGACACAAGAATGAACTTGAGAGTTTGAGTGCGAAATTAGAGCAAGCACTGACGCTTCCGTCGCTCAATCTTTCTGCCGACTTTA